CGATGGAAGGCCATGGAATACAGTAATGAGCCCAGGAAGGGCAAAGCGTGGCACAGGATTACATGTCCCATCCATCACTTGCTGACTGTGTTGTTTTCTCTTTGCACACTTGTATGGAAATGTAACTACAAAACGTTCCTCCGAACAGTTCCCTTATGTGCAAATATAGCTTTAAATGACTTCTCTAGGAAAGAATCCTCACTATTTTATACAAGTTGTCTTGCATGTTTATTACACAGAATCGTGATCCAAAAAGAAGGGGGTTCATCCCATGCCTGTTCATAACACTGCTCTCCCTTACTCATTAGGAGCTGGAACATACTCCAGGCCCCCTCATATGATAAATGATGCTGACTTTGCTCTCCGCTTCCAGCCTGCTTGGATGTGCTTATTTATGGAGCCTCAGGGCACTGATGGATTCAGTTCTCTCCCAGTTCCTCCACAAGAGTAAGCACATCGTGGGCACTGGACTTGGAACAGGCAGTTTGGAGAGGGATCAGTAAAATCTGAAACTCTGCTCCTGGCCTCACTGCTGCGCAGGGACACACTGGGACCACTCCAGAGGTGCTGCACTGCCCACTGACTCTCTTCCCAGCAGCTGGTAGTTTCCCCACCACATTTAAAGCCCTTTTTCCCATCCCATGACTCAGAGCAGATCAGCAGGCTGGATTCAGCGCCACGCAGGTGCATGGATGCCCACTGGCCTGCCCCAGGAATGCGTGCCTGTGAGGTGTGAGCAGGATGTCTCCTGCTGTATTTAGCTTGGCTGGCTCAGCCGGCCCATTCCACTGTCTGCACAGCCTCGGGGAGAGTGGAAGCAAACAATGCGCTGCCCAGCCAAGCCAAACACCAGGAGGTCAAAAGCTGCAGCACAGCTTCTCGGAGATGACACGCACACCCGGGGCAGGGCCACTTGACTCCTGGCACAGGAGCATCTTTGAGAACCCTGCAGCTCCAAACACCAGCAGCTGCCCCAAGCTCCAGCACACACCACCCCCCTCCAGGGATGCTCTTTGCAGCCTCCAAGGGAAGAAGGTGCTGGGATGGGTAGTCCTGGTGCAGAGCACAGCCCCCCCCTTCCCTGGCAGTGCAGTATGTACGGCTTTGGAAATAATACAGCCTTCATTAACTTGTCAAATTAAGAAATTGAGAGCTGTCAAAGTGTAGTGAAGATTGGAGGTGGCTTTTATAGCAAACCTTCGAATCTCCCACTGTTTGTCTAATCTAATTTCCTCATCCTCTTGTCCTAAGAGAATCATTACAGGAGAGGGAGGAGTGGAGAGATGAAGGCAGGAACGGTTTCCATCTGAAAGCACCTCCCTTCCATGTGTGTGTGTGATGAGAAGGTTTATATAAGCTGTGCAGGATCAGCAATTTTCTTCTGTCAGGTTTATGTTTTAAGACAATTCCTAAACTTCATCCCCTCTGGTCAATCTGCCATAGGAAGAAAATAAAAATATTCTTTTGTTTTGGTGGAAACACTCCTGTCCTCCAGCGCTGGCTTTTAAGAAGGCAGCACCAGAGAGTGTTCTGAAAAAGCAACATGTGGCACATCTCAAGCCCCTGCAGCTGAGATAAAGCCCTGGAGGAACCAGCTGCTGTGACAGCAGAGGGTGAACAAGCTGTCCAGGGACAGCACAAAACACAAAAAAATTCATAGTTAACACAATCTCTGCTGGGGAATGAAAGGTTAAAATCACACCAGCAACTGACTGGGGACAGGCTTTTGAGGCAAAGCTGCCATTCCTTGCCTGCTAATTGTTATGTTTTTCCAAAGATTTCATCAACTAAGTTGTGTTCAACAAACTGCTATTTAATTACCAGAGTAGAATCCTGTTAATTAGCCAGCCCCAGAAGACAGCCCTTCATCCCTGTTAAGTGAAATTCCCAACTAATCCCTCTAGCAGCCACTGTGTTGCAGCCTGGGGAGCCCCAGAGAGCTACTAGAGATGCCCCCAAAGGTGGGGGGAGCATCAGAGCTTGGCCCTGCCTTCTGCCAGCAACTGTCCTCAGCCCTTAGAAGGTGCAGACCAGTGCAAGTGTTGTACTCAGAAGCAAAAAGCTGTTTATTCCACAGCTCTCCCTCCTGGTGCTGTTTTCCCAGGTGGCTTCGGCCATAGCCCAGCCAGCAGCTCCTCTGTCCCCAGGGCTGGCACTCCCACTGCATCCCTGGGCTGCATCCCCAGGCTCCTTCCCTTCCTCCCTCCTCACAGTCTGTGCCTGTGCAAGAGGCCACCAGCTCCCCTTCAGCCAGTTCCCCACCATCCTCCACTTACCACCACACGGCATCAAAACTTTCCCCAGCTTTTACGAGGTGCTACAAACATTTCCAAACCCCAGCAGGGCTCTCCTCTTACCTCTCATCTCACCTGGCACAGAGAACAATCCCCATGTGACCGTAACTCCACACCCAGCAGACCCAGGGGGGCAGGACAGGTGCATCAAGGATATGAAGTTCCTATAAAATTCACAAAAAACAGTGTTCCAGCTATGTGAAAAGATTCAGCCTTTCTGGATAGAGCCCAAGGGCACCATCCCAGCGTGGGAGGGATCAGCCAGGGCTTGTTCCCACCCCAAGAGGGAAGCAAGTTTCTTTCATTCGGCTAATTCGTGGAGTTTTTTTACTGTCTGTCACCGTGAAAGTTAATTTTACATTGAAATGCCAGCAGAAATTAATTTTGACAGGAAGTTATAGGCACTTCTTTGATTTCCATTTAAACAATTTAGAAGTGGGGGCTTCATTTAATGAAGTTCAATAAAGCAAATCTCCAGGTGAAAATAATAAATATTTAAAAGAGTAAAACTATTAACTGTTCAGCATCATTTGGAATAAATACATCCCTACAGATGCAGGGATGAAAGGACAGTTTAAAAATTCTACAAAGTCTTTAAATCAATGGTTGCAAAATACCAATATGCAATTTTTCATGTTCCTGTGAACTTGCCCTACCCAGTCTGATCCAATTCTGATTTTGGATTGTGGCATATGATACGCTGAATTTTAGTCAAGAACATATCCATCAACCCTGATTCTAAGTAATAATAACTATCATCAGAATTAAGCCATATGGAAAAAAAAAATCCATGATTTTATAGACTAGGGATTTAGACCAATGAAAAATTGACAACAGTTTGTAATGTGGACTTTAGCATTCTACAGGTAGAATGAAGTCTCTCTCAGTCTCTACCCAACGCTGAAACAGAGAGGTCTTTAATATTAAAGGGGCACACAAGGCAACAACACGAAAATAATTTCCTTCAATAGGATGAATAAAATAATACCTTAAATTAGCAAGTTCCAGTGACATCACCAGCTCAGCCATTCCTGCTAGCAGACGCAGCTCTACCGAAATCAACATCCATGCTGAAAACAAACCTGGGGAAGAGGTAAGAGAGTCTGGCATGTTTCCAAAAGTAAAACAAAGAGGAGGAAGAGGTGTGTGATTAATTCTCCATTGGTATTCCACTCACATTTCCTCCAAAGACAGGGAAGTATTTCAAGTGAGAAATCTTGCTCATCAAGCTGTTACAAACATTTTTCCTCAATGTGCTCTACCCCTCTCTTCTCTGAAGTCACTTTTCCTCTCCATCTCACAGGCCTGGAGGCTGTCCATGTACGTCCCACCTGCAAGTATCTGCTGGCACTCCATACTTTTTCATTTTAAAAAAAACAACAACTCAATCTATGAACAAGCCAGATAGCTATTAAGAGAGTTTTACTGAAAAATACACAGGTTTGAGAAAACAAGACCAGTAACATTTCATCTCAGAAAGCAGTTACAAAAGCAAGACATTTGGACTTTTGAAAATGTGTTTAATTGATAATGCTCATTAACTGCACAGTTCATAAATACAAGTTAAAGTTGTAAATACAAGTTGTAAAAAAAAAAAAAAAAAAACCTCAAATGTGTGATATTTATTTTTAAATTTATTTGGTTTTTATGGTTGTCTCCTTAGTATGTGGAAATCAGTGCAACTTGAACAGCTGCCAAACATAAACCTCTAAACGAGGAAGGAGTGCTCAGTGGAGAGTATGTTCATCTCTACCCTGTAGCTTCTTGTAACAGGAACTAAATCAATCTTTGGTAGTATATTAAAGCACTTCAAATAGTTAATGCAGACAAACATTTAAAGGTTAACGCTGTTTATATTTCTATTCTTGCTGCAACACAGAATCTATTTCTTTTTGGTATTTTTTTGTTTGTTTTATAAAGGTCACTTAGGAAGTCTTGATGGCTTGAAACTACGGACGATGGAGCCTCTTCCTTAGCACCAAAGTCAGCAGCAATTCTGACACTGACCCAGTGGGTGCAGACATGGGCCTGAAGTACTCCTGGAAGTGGAAGGGATGGATCCAGTTTGTCAAACACATTAGAAATTATTCACTATACTTCTTCATGGAAGTACAGGAATGTACCACAAGAAAGCATACAATATGAAAACATAAACACCCCATCACTTCTTAAATAAGATGGGGTGGAGTTTGCAGGTTTTTCTACCAAAAAAATTCTCATCCTAGCCTGAACAAGGGTTCTTCTGAAATCAGTACAATTAAAAGATATTAACATCATCCCACAGAGGTTTAGTCCCAATACAATGCATATAATTTAATGAACCCTTTTCTATTTACATTTACAGTATGTGTGTTGTTGTCAGAGCACAACCAGATTACACTGAATATTAGAATATTAGAATAAATGCAGTGCAATTTCTTTCTCTCTCGGGACAAAATCAGTGGGTAATTCTTAACATGATAGGAATGTCTCAAAGTGAAAATTGAAAACACATTTCCCCGAGCCAGCATTCCTCTATGTAAAGCACATCTCAGTGCATGTTTGCTCTTCACTAAGCACAGTACAGAAGGAAAGAAAGCCTGCTACCTTAATGAAATGGGAATATAGAATCAGGTTGAAAAAAAACAAGTGGACAAAATATCTTCTTAAAGAAACAATGAAGAATTAAAAACGCCAACTCAGCATGAAGTAATGAATTGCGCATTTGCTTTTCTTCATTTTCAACAGCAACAGCCCAGCTTGAAATGTCAGAAACTCAGAGGGACCAACTGCCTGTAGCTCTTCTGCAGGGCTTGCACCATCCTCCTCCTGGTCCAGACCACCTCAAAGCACCAAAGAACAGCAAATGAGCCTGGCACACACTGCACTTAATGCTTTCCGTGTCAGCCTTCGAAAGCACGATGCTCTCTGTGGGCTAGGGAAGAGAGAAGGGGAAAAAAAGAATAAAAGAATATGTAAACTATGTCAAGGAAAAGATGAAAAAAACCACAAGATAGCAATGTATAAATCAGTCAAGGAAGACACAACATGCCAACAAGTGATCTTTGGGAATACACTATTCTGATAATACATTTATAGAGATACTAAAATATGAGATCCCTTAAAATCCTGATTGTAAATGGTTCCTTCTAAATTAATCCTTAAATTGAACAGCATGTAGCCTTGAGAGTTATCAAGAGATTTGTCTCACTTGTTTTATGACTCAGGCATATTAAACATGAAACCAAATATATTCTACGATTAAATTAAAAATATCTTTTGAATGATAGCTAACTTTTACATTGAAGGGACATAATTTTAATGCAATGACAGATGCTACGTTCCTAAGTGATTAATGATGAATCAGGCAGGATATTCCCATGGAAATACCCTCCCAGCATCTTGTTTTTCTAATGAAGGTGGAAATTAACAGTACAAAACACTCACGTTTATAGAAGACGGCTTTAAAAGATGTGTGTGGCAGAAGTTCATGAATCTTTTCTAGAACCTTTGCTTCACTTGCTGAAGAGGCATTCACGTTCCAGACTTGCACAACATCTTCACGGTCCCGAACGCTGACACTAACCCCTATTACTTCATCTTCTGCAGAGAAGGGGAAGAATCATTAAGGAATATTTTAAAAGTGAGACATGTCTAATTTGCTACTTATGTATTATGAAACAGTGCCCAAAAGCTGGGGAAAAAAAAATGAAGACATGAAAAAAAAAAAAGAAAAAAAGAGCAATCTCCAGTGAGGAAAATACCAATGTTCAAACCAGACAAAATAGTTACCAGAAAGAACCACTGTGTTTATAGAAGCTATTGGAAATATTACCTCATAGTGTTTTTTATGAAGTGCCATAGGATTATTCATCTTTGCTATTACCCCTCTTATACTTGATTAGAAAGGAATCGCAAGGCTCCCTTCAGTAAGGTCAGCAAGATGAACTACTAAAGATAATTTTCCTACCATAATGCCTACAAGCAAAAATGTGAGGATGAGGGCGAAACAACTAAAACCCCAGGAACAGTACTGGTGGAGATCAGACACCAGCTTTTCCAGACTTTGTTGCCTTTTTCCTTTACATTTTGTCAGGACAGCAACAGAAAAAAAGGGAAAAAAAAAAAAAAGAAATTAATAAAGCCGCAGTCAGGCTGATGCTGCCAGTGCTGGTAACTCTGTGTTTTACTGAAAAAGCCCTTTTTGGTGTGAAATTCTCAGGATTTAGCTTTATGGAGAGCTCAAAGGCCAAGCCACAGCTTTCCACTATGAGCAGTGGGTGCCTCCAGCTGTGAGCTCCATGGCACAGCTTTCCCATGCATCCTAAGGGAGGGGTCAGCAATGATAACACAAAGATGGTGTCAAAAGCACATGGACAAGGGGAAAAACTACCTCTGTAGGCAGCAGAGTGTCATAAAGTGACCCCAAGTCAACCCTATCAGTGTATAAATGGTGTGAGAGACACCATTTGGAAGGTCTTTGCTGAACTGCTCTGTGAACCTGAGTAATGCAATTCTTTTTTATGGGATGGATGATAGAGCAGTGAAGGGACACTCCTAACAGGATATTCACAGCCACTGTAACAGCTGGTTTAGTCAGATATTCATGCTTAGGAGAGAAGTAAATACGGTCAAAAGAAATGATGGAGAAGTGCCATTTGAATTGAAGAGTTAGTTTAGTCAGCAAGTTCATTGTTTGCTTCACCCAGAAGCAAGAAACTATTCTTTAACAGAACCTTAATGAATTAAATGGTCAGACTTGTACTTGCTTCTCATGACTAGGAAGTTGCCTTTGGTTATCTCTTTTAATCCAGCTGGTGTTCAGAGTCCCTTCACAGAGTTCCTTTGCTTGCAAGGAACCCTGCAAGCCTAGAGAAGATATTTATTCTGAAAGGGACTTCATTAAATTATTACCTCTGACCAAAATAATATGTGAGCTTCTGGATGATTAATGCCCGTTTTCCAGTAAACCAGCAAAGTACTTTTGGAATATTTATGTAAATTCAATTACATCAAACATTACCTTGACCTGAGCAGTATTTTTAAGCAATGAACAAAATATTGCTTCTGGCTAGAGTGCTAACCTGGGATTGAGGAGAGCCAGGTTTGTGCTGTGGCCCTGCTATGGGCTTTTAATGTCACCACAGGCAAACCATGCAGTGTCCCCCTGCTTCAGGTCTGCACTGGTGCTTCCCCTGACAATTCCTGGCTAGAGGGATTATGAGGGCAAATGGGGGCATCTATCCAAAGCCAGGTTGGATGGGGCTCTAGGAAACCTGCTCTAGTGAAAGGTGTCCCTGCCCTCGGTAGGGAGTTTAGAACTAGATGATCTTTAATGTCCCTACCAACCCAAACCTTTTGCGATTCTATGATTGATCTAATTTAGCTGCTTCCAACAGTGACAATGCAAACAATCTGTATGGAAGTGCCATTTAGTGTTCCATAATCCTGATACTGGGGAATGAAAATTAATCATTTAAATACCGGCTAACAGACAGATGTTTAATAACTGAAAAACCTGCTGGCTTCCCACAGACACAAGCTGTTGAGCTTGAGTCTTTTGTACAAAGGTAGTCAGCATACCTTGTCCTCTTCTTAACGACAATAGGTATGAACAGGCTTTCCAGCCCTACATCCCATTTTTAGCAGTGCTACCATGTTCTGTATTCCAGTTCCATTTGTCACGCTTTCCCCAATCATTACCTGCTGCGCAACAATCTGTAAACTGCTCTCCAATAGTTGCCAGCAGTAGCTCTTTCCAAACTGCAGCCTAAGGAAGCAGAAAAAAGTTACCTTTGTATTATTGTTTTTTAATTTAAAAGTTGGGTTTGCTAGCTTAGTTTTGAGTGTCTTCTCTTTCTGAGGTTGTCTAGGAAAAAAAGCGTATTTATTGCAAGTACATGCTGTGTTATATAATTAATAGTTAGGTCTGTACAAGATGGTTCATCTCAGTCAAGGAGGTGCTGTGCCCACATCTGATGAAGAATGAACCCAAAAAAATGAGAAACGGGCATAAAGGTATTATTTACGTTATTTACAAGGCACTGAAAGCTGACTGAAGTTCACCTTCAAGCAAACCTTTCAGAAGTGGCTGGGGCCATGTGGTGTGTAGTTTGAGAGATCAAAAGTACCTTCATGTCAAAAATGGGCTGTCATTCAGCCTCTTGAAAAACAAGGCCTCTGGGGCCCCTATATTCACTGCCCAGTAACGCAGGCTCCCCAAACCACTTGTCACTTCTGACAATCTTCACACCTTGGATTATAAGAGGAAAAAGACAATTTGAGTCTTTTGTGATCACTTGGGACTGCAGGGGAGGAAAGCTGCAACTCACATAGAGGGAAAAAGCCCACAGGCAAAAATCAATTAACTTTTGGCTGAAATTGAGTGCCATCTTTCAGCATTTAATGCCTTCTCCAAAGCTGTCACATTTTTCTGACACTTCACTTCTCGTGTTTAAAGGCCTGATCCGAAGCACACTTGCACACATAAACACCAAGTGTGAAGAGGTCAAATCTCCTCGCCATGGCAGTTCACAGGAGAAGTTACTCACATGCATTTGATTAGGGATGCAAAGAGAAACCCAGTTATTTCATCAGGGCTCAAACAACGACATGCCTGAACAGACCTAATCTTTAACACTTTTAAATTAAATAAATAAATAAATAAATAAATAAATAAAGGAGAGGAATAAAAACCTGAGCAGCACCGCAATTTCCCAAAATGCACACAAGGTGCTCTGACAACTCACTGTTGCCAAAGGGGATGATCCTTCTTGTCTTTTCTATTTTATGCCCATCAAAAAACCCTCCTGGCCGTACACTCTAATTAAAAATTAAAAAAACAGGAGACTTTTTGCAACTACAGAGTGCACTAAGCTGGCTCATTAAACAGTCTGATGAGCGTCACAGCCAGTGCAAGAGGGATCAGAAGAGAATGAAGAAAGATCTTGCCCCGTGCAGTGGGAGCACAGCCATGAGTTACTGGTAGAAACAATGCCTTGGTCCCGGTTTGCCTGCAGAAAGTCACAGGCTACTCAGAGCCATCACAGGGGCAAACAAGCCACACCAAGCAGAAAGAATCCTACAGAGTTTGACAGGGTGCATTTAGGAGCATTTCAGTGAAACTGTGCTGTGTTGACTTCTGAAGAGTGTTATTGTGGTTCTGGCTATAAATTAGTATAGATTATCAGGAAAAGGTTTCCTGTTTTCCTTTGTATGCCTGTAAGCAAACAGTCTCAAGAACAAAGGTGATTATAAATTCCCGTGTTTCCAAATGGAAACACTGCAGCTTTCAATTGCTTGATAACACGTTGCCAAATGTTAGCTAAAGCAAGAGATATGGAATTATTGGAAAAGAAACTTTTGCTCATTGTATATAAAAGGTTATGGATGTCAAAACAGCGTTTGGTTGTTGTGCTGGATGATGTCAGAAGTAAAAAGTTTTACAACAGCTTTATCAGATAGAGTTTAAAGAAACTCCCTTACTAAACAAGGTCTGAGTAAGAAGTCAACATAACATACCGTACTTTCTTTAGGGACTTTCATTTTCCATATACCTCCTTTGGCATTGCTTTCTTCTTCCCTGTTATGGGAAATAGATCAGTGAAAATAAACACTCAAGTCCCCATCTAGATAACCTTATGTTTGTGGTTTAATTTTCCCAGAAAAATCCCATCTGAAATGCAATTACTAACTCCAGGGAGCATGACTCTGACTTCTGACATCACAGATAATTCTTTCATTGTTCATATGAAGTGTATCTCTCAACACCTAATCCCTTTCCTAAGTTTTGTGTCTTGGAAAATACTTACATTTTCCCTGACTACAGACACTCTTTGAAGTGGCTGCACACTGTATGGGAACAAGCCACAAAACAATTTTTTTGTTTTACTATGGTAACCTCTTATTTTGGAAAACCTCTGGCATATTTTCACAGAAGCAACTTATTAGCCTCCCATTTATCAAATTTAACAAAAGAACACTTCATTTCAGCTTTGTGGCAGCTAGAAATTATTTGCTCATGTTAATGAAAGACTGAAGTTGCCCAGGGTCGGGGCAGACATAACCATTAAACTGCCTTGCAATGACAAACCTATGAGCTCCTCAAGTTTATTCTGCCACAATTCATTCAATAAGATTTTGAATTATGGCTTTAACTTTCCTGGTAAAGCGCTGTAAAAGCAAAGTTAAAGGAATAACCTAAAATTCATCTTTGGTGGGAGACCGTTGGTCCTGGGGAATTTCTACAGGTTTCATACTGGGTTTAGATACTCCAATCCTGACAGATGCTGGGGAAAGGAGCTGGGAAATTTTGGGAGGACACCTTCAAAAACCCGTGGTCCTCAATTCTTACTTCAGAATTTGGTTTTCTGTCTAAAAAAAAAAAAAATTTACATATATGTATATATTTGAAAATGCTGATTTTGGTCAATATACCTTTGGCAGAAATTACTAATAAAGGTAATGGGTTACTGATGAGATCAACTTCTGGCAATCCCTTTCCTAAAATACAAAATTACTTTGATAGACTTAAAACAAAACATAAAAAAGATTCCTGTCCCACACCTGTCTCCTTTCTCCCCTTCAGGTTCTTCCACTGCCCATTCCCAGAAATGTCTAATAACAACACACATACCAGAGTGGGCGTCTTTCTCCCCGCATTAAATGGTAACTACATCTCAGAGGCAAATTTGTCACAGGAGGAATGTTGTTGTAGACACTCCAAAAATCCTTGAAAAGAAAAAAATATTGGTTGCATTAACACAAGAAACACATGCATGTTTCATGTAGATTTACTGCCTTGCTAACTTTCTGTAAAACAATTATATATCCTTCTCCTAGAGAACTGGCATCATCTGTGTTACAACAAAATGCTCGGAAAAGAACTTGTTACAAGTTAATTTCTACTTTTTTTTTAGAAGCCAATTCTGTCTAAGTGAAGGTGGAAAGAAGGGAAGCAGTCAAACTGGATTATTTTAGAATCAAGTTCATTTTCAATAGGGAGGGAGATAAAAATAATCAAAAACAGAGTTAGACTAAGCATGTGAGAACAAAGCAGTACATAGTATTTTACTAGTATGTAAAAAAAAATTTATATCAAATAGCCTAGCCTAAACTTCATTGTGATTACCCTGAGTTACAAAGCCACCACAAACAATAATTCTGGTGAACTAAATGCCTAACCAGCAACCCAACTACTTTGTCTAAGTGAAAGGTTTCAACCAGATGCAAAGAACATGAGATGCACATGTTAATACAGGAAGGGGGCAGAAATCAGAAGATCCAAGTTTACCAGGAACCATTGGATTACTTCCCAGTGTTTGTGCTGGTAAAAGCAGAAGCTGTCATGCGTGTTTGGGGTGGATAAAAGGCACCCAAAAGCAGCAGTGAGCAACAGGGAGGGATGACTAAAAAGATCCCAGTCCCTGTTCTTCTTTATCCAACAGCTGGGAATAGGATTTTTAAAGACTTAAGTTGCAGCAACATGTGGTGATGCAATATTAATTAGTAGTGCAACTCATTAAGTATTATCTACACATAATAGTTAAATATTATCTAATACATTAAGTATTATCTAATACTTAATCATTAGCACCATTTTAGAAACAAAGATTGCAACACTATGTGATAAAATTTTGTGTCCCTTGGTGACTCTGCCTACCAGCCATTACCATTTCCCAGTCACAAGAAGAGAGATGGAAGACTACTAAAAATACAAAAACTTGTTACAAAACACCCGTTTCAACTTTTGTTTTATTCTTACCGGGTTGTTTGCCCAAACCCTAAAGCTACTGACAGAAGAAGAAGCAGAGCTACAGTGGCAGATTGCTGTGGAAACATTTGAGAGCTCTTTATATCCTGAACCAGGGACTTTGATTGGAAGGTTTTGGGTTGAAAACATCCTTCAGGTGGTGAAGGCTGGAATTCCTCATTGAGTAGGTACTGGCCATGAAGGACAGTGATGGAGTCAAGGAAGATCATATTATATGAAAGCCTTGTTTAAAACTCCAGTGGATCACTACAGCTGTGCTTCTCAAAGAGAAGGGTTTGGCACTACCTTAGAATTTCAGAGATTTAGTGAACTTGAGTCAGCTTAGCATTAAGGTGAGACAAATACCAATTTGCTACACTTCATGGTAACTGTGGTATTAAAATAGAAATGCAGTTTTACTTGCAAGAGATGCCCACTGCTAGGCACTGGCAGATGACACAGACATACAGAATTTCTCATTACTGTGAGTATTCCACGATGTAAGAGTACTTTCATTCAAGTCAGTTTGCTAAACTAATTTTTTTTTTTATTCATGTTCAAGGAGGAAAGACAAAAAAAACCACCCACAACCTGTAGTTTTTAGTCTTTGCATATAATGAATTTCTGTGTTAAATAAAACATGGGAAAAAAGGCAGAAATATTATTAAAATACATCAAGTATAACAATCCAGAGGTACAAGTGGAAACTCAGGAAAATTTAATAATCCAGTATGTTCAATCCAGTTATGCCTCCTCCTTTCCTGGTCTGGAAAGCCAAGTGAAATTCAAACAATGACTCAGTAACACACACACACAACTCCAGCAAAACTCACGTTTCACACCTCAGGTAAGCAAAGCCACAGCTGTGATTCATCCTACGAGGAAAAACGAAACTTAAGGTGTGAAGTTGCATTAATAACGTGTGGCAGCTCCTGTAGCAGAGCCAGACACTTTACCTGCACTGTTTGAACTGTATAAATCTTCTTCAAGTTTGATGCACATTCAGCTGCTGTCGTACCAGGAAGTGATCTTGAAAAAAAAGTACAGATTAATTAAAACATCTGTTTTATCGAGGAGGGAAAGAAAGGAGATGTAGAGGGAACGTGAATCGCATGTGTGCAAGGTTGAAATATTCACGTGTCGAAGTGGAAGCCCAACTCCAATTATCACGATTCATTTAAAGATAGGAGTTAAAAAATGCTTATATACTAGTGAATAGGTTAATATTTACCACGTAATTTGTAAAATATGTTGATTAAACGGGAGAATTAGGAGTTTTAAACCAAGCAGCACAGCGCTCCTCTCAGGTCCACCACCCCCCCTCAGAGCCCAGCTGTTCACAGGTGATGGGCTACCAGAAAGGGAATGCATGGCCATCCTCTGGAATTATTTTTAATTGCTCTTAATACACCTCAGAGCCCCTTTTTAAGCGTTTTAAGGCACTCACGGTGCTTCACACTTTGAAAAAAAATAGCATAATCCGCGCTGCTCCCTCAGCGCGGGCCGCTAGGTGGCGCAGGCGCACAGGCGGCGGGATGGCGGGATGCGGGATCACGGAGGGATGGCGGGATGGCGGGATGTGGGATCACGGAGGGATGGCGGGATGTGGGATGCGGGATCACGGAGGGATGGCGGCGGGACCTTCCCTCAGCCCCGCACCGCCCTCACCAGGGCCAGTCACAGCCGTCATGGGTCCCTCCGATGGATGGGACGCGCACACGGGCTGAGCAGAAGCACAAGCCCCAAAGGGCAGCTCCCCTGCCAGGTGCCATGTAAGCCAACACACGCAGGGAGCCTCCATGACTCCAGGCAGCTCTTCCACTATTGGCACTATGCCACCAGCACGTCCCATAAAGCCACGAGATCCTTGGGTTGGCCTCAGTGCCAGACACCCTCGTACACCAGGAATGGTTCAGCTTCTCCAGCTCCCCCTCATACTGACCATTCCCAGCTCCCACCTGGAGCTGCTCCCGGCTGCACCTCATCCTCTGAAAAGCTTTTTCCACCCTAAATGATTCTATTTATAACCTTCAGCATGAATCTTCAGTGCTTGAGGCATGGGACGGTGCATCCACGCCCCCCAGACATCACTTGGCTCCTGTCACCACACTAATAGCGCATCGTAACACCCACCTTACAGTTCCCAGCACACAATCCCACAGGCACAATTTTTGGAGGAATGAGGTCAAAATTGCTAAGGCACATTCAATTTGTTAGAACTGGAAACATTTTTTTCCCTTCAGAAGCTGAAGTGGGATTTCTAAAGAAAAATGAAGATCAAAGACAAAGCAACCTCCCATTGTGCCTCAGAAGAGGAAACAAAAATGTGTAAAATGACTAAATCTGGAAACAGAGGCAACAGAAGAAGTTTAAGGAAACAGAAGAAAATGCAGCTGTTGCTCAGGTACCAGCTGAAGAAAGGATAAAAGCAAACCAGATCTCAGCAACCCTCCCTGATACATCTGATCAGCATGAAATATGTCCAGGGAAACACTGAAGTTACTCTCAGTTGTTACAGATACAATTTAGGCTCTGGGGCAAACCCTAGACATTCATGTAAAGGAAGACATTTAATATGCAAAACTACTGAAAAATCATCGCATCTTCAAAAGTCTAATAATAGCTCTTTGAAGGTTTTTTGAAGCCTCCTATCAACATAAGTTACTTTAAAAATACAAAACCAGCAGAAAAATCCCTCCCAGTCTTTTCAGTATAGAACAGGCAAACTAACACCTACTTTACTATTTGCCTGTTAATTACCAAACATAAGAGCACATTACAGTGGTGGAACTGGCAAGAAAACAGCGTTACATGTCCAAATTTCAAAAATCACTTTACTAGGGGTTATAAAAACAAGCAAACAAACCCCAAGACACTGCCGTGGCACAGATTTTAGTCCTGCGCTCATGAACTATGAAAACTTCAATGAAAAAACTGATAACCCAAAACCAGTGACAGACAAAACTGTCATCAACGTGATCAAAAGGAATTATCTTTGTAAAGAATGGGGGGGGGGGGTTGTTTGGGTTTTTTTTGTGTTTTGGCAGGTTTTACTTACACTTCACACTCAGCAGTGAAAAGCAAAAAGAAATTCACAGTATTTAACAGAGACAGCCAGTCAGGTTGCTTTTGAATGCACACACACACACACAAAAAAGGTAGTAAATAAAACAGACTTTAAATAAAACAGACTTTAAAACTTATCAGGTGATATTTGTCAGTAGAGAGTAGTGGATTCACAACAAATTACCCCTTGTTTTTTCCTTGTTGCTGACAGAAGTAGCACCTCTCTACGAAGACTTGGTTTCATGTAGAATAGAACACAGACAGGCAAAACCTGAGATAACTTTGCCTCTCGCCATCCCACACCACTGCTCAAGAAATTACTTCTCTTAGGCACTCTTAGTAACTCAGCAGTCACCAGTGCACGTGGGGTTACATGTGCTGTACAACAAATAGTATCACCATTCTATATCCTCATTCTGATACTGCCACTGAGTTGCCTCAATAGTAAGGTTTACTCAAATAAAAGATTCCATGGTTCTCCAACCATAGCCTTTAAAGGTTACCTAGATAATCATGGTAGCCATTTAGCAAATTCAATGCCATTTAAAAGAGCAGCTAAGACAGGTAGACAGAATATCCCACTCTGAGGTTATAAAATGGTTCATTTTGATAGCTGCAGATAACATTTTCCAGGGAAACTGTGATCAGCTGGCAGAAAGCACCAACCAACCAGCAAATTATCTGTTTTAAAAGTTATGGCGAGGGACCATTTATTTCTAGTAACCTGCCCGGGAAATGCTCCATGCCCTCAAGATTATATAGTGTTATTTCAGCCTTTCACCCAGCTCTGGAAAGTGTCAGTCATTTATGGGTATGAGCATGAATCCCCAAACATTTTTATTAAAAAAAAAAACAAAAAAACAAATAAACCCCCCCAAAAAAACAAACTAAAAAAAACAAACACCAAACCAACAATCAAAACCCTATTGAAAAGGCCACAACTGAGAAAACAACGATGCATCAATTTAAAAGTTCAGGATAATTTGTTGCAGAAACGACACCTGTACAAATTTGGTTTGATGGATGTGTATAGGGTGGAGAGAGTATTCTAATGACAGACAGACGGAAAAATTCCTGCAAAATACCAGACTGCTGACAAATCTGAACTGCAGTGTTCCTGTGATAGCCACCCATAAACTCAGCAGATCCACCCAGATGATCACTGGGGGGGGGGGTTGTGCCTTGAAACCCTTGAAGTTTTGATTTTAGTTTTTTTCAACTGAGTAGAGAGTATAAGTTTAAGTTAGCAGAAATGGCAGATGACTTCCAACTGAAGGAATCTGTAGAAATTCCTACTTTTATAAATCTTCCAGGAAACACACTATACACTAGGAGTAGAAATATGGTTGTGTACTTTACTGAAAACCTCAATACACATTGTACTACAAAACAAGGCTGCAAATACTGACCCTTGAAATGAAGCCATTACAGGATTCCTCCCATTTGGATAATTTTACTGCCACCAACAATAAATTTAATCTGATATGCCATACTGACCTGTCAATTACTGCCATGGAACAATTCATTTCCAAGGAAATCAGCAGGCCCTGGCAGTCCCCCTGAGCACAGTGACAGGATGCGACACGGATCACAGCACCAGCCTGGCACCGACAGCTCTTCTGGGGATGGAAGTAGCTGGTCTGTCGCCAATCCACCTACAAATGCACATCTGGGTTCCCCGAGGAGAGTTCTGCTGGTCTGCCTGTTCCATGCCCTGTGCTGCCACTGCTCTGCTTCTTCAGGACATTAGGGGAGAAATTTGAGTGCAATATCAGGGCTAATTGAGTTGCCTAATCAGGCCAGACCCACTGTACAGCATCTCACGGTGAACCACATGGGAACGGGGAAACAGGAATAATCTACATAAACTGAATCCTAATGCGAGCTTGCTTCACTACTCCTTCATTATTCCAGCACGAATAAAGAACAAAGGGTACAAAGATAAATCCCATTGTTTTATCCATGAATAAACCTCCAGGTGGTTGTGCTTATGTTAATTTCTGATGCTGAACTGTAGCTTTTCTGTTTCTCTGCAAAGAATTAAGTATAGAAGTTGTTTCATATGTGCTCACACTGGCCTTTGTTTCCCGGTAGCGGGATCTTTAAAAGCTGCCAAGCAGTTTAGAAAATACCCCTGTAAGTGCTTAACTACAACTGCTTTTTGTATAAATAAGCAAAATATTTACTTACAAAGCATAAACTCAAAAACATGCTGTGGCAACTAAATAAATCTGGTAATCCATTCTGCATACAAAGACTGATTTCAAGCCATCAAAGCCTGTCAAAATGCACTTACTGGGTTGAACATTCTTATAATATTAACCATCATTTTTCATTGTAAGCCACCTACTCATAAGCTGTAATAGATGAAATAGATGATCCTAGATAAATAAGATTTTTCTATAGGGAAGAAGGGAAATTATTAAGTTTAGTTTCAAACATCTGATGTGTTCAGTTAAGAACTTTATTAAAATAGTTCAGTTATCGAAATTTATCTACTAAACTTTATATAGAACTCATCCATAACACACAGAGAGAAAAATCACCACGGATAATACATTTATGTAAGAATATTTTGTCTTCCCTGGAGTAGACTAATAACCCTGCATATTTGACAATGCTTATAAGCACAAACTTCCCCTCACAAAGATACTGAAGAGTTAAACTATTCTTGCAACAGAAATAAAATTATCTACAGAGCGTTGTTCGAAGTCAGGCGAGAAGACAGGGCAGGCAGGCCACGATCCTGCAAAAGGACCTGCCCTGCTGCACGCTCAGAGTTCCATGGGAGTGAGGTTTATCTGGAAGTGAGGCTTCTGTCCTAAGCTTTCGTGTGATGCGTGCCCAATTCCTGATAGCACTGATTTGTGTCGAAGGGTTCTGGCATTTTTCTTGCTATTGACTGAAAGCAGTCTGGCAGCAGCAGTGGCAGCTCAGACACAGTGAGATCTTCAAACAGTGGGTTTTTGCAAGGACGTGCAACATCTTCATTACCACATGTGCACACTGGACTGAAAACCCTTACCACTGACAAAGCCTCTGGCTTCTTGTGATGCTGAAAAGTCAAACAGCTACCAGGACTCTGTTATTTCAGTAGGGAAAGGCTTAGTGTAGCATTAAACATGAGATGTGTGCTGGTTTTGGCTGGGTGGAGTTGGGTTTTCCCAGTTGGTCTAATGTGGGGCTACATTTCAGATTTGTGCTGAACCCAGGGTTGATAATATAGACATGTTTTTGTTATTGCAGAGCAGTGCTCACACAGAGCCAAGGCCTCTTCTGCTTTTCGTATTGCTACGCTGGCACGTACGCAGGTACTTGTACAGCAACGCTGGCTGGGGGTGCACGGGAAAACTGGGAGGAGACACAGCCAGGACAGCTGACCCCAACTCACCCAGGGGATATTCCAGACCATATGCCATCCTGCTCAGTGTATAAAGTGGAGGCAAGAAGGGGTGACATTTGGAATGATGGCACTTGTCTTCCCAAGTCGCTGTCATGCACAATTGGGCCCTGCTCACCTGGAGTTGGCTGTACACCTGCCTGCCTGTGAGAAGCAGTGGATTAATTAATTCCTTGTTTTGATTTGATTGTGTGCACAGTTTTGGGTTTCCCTATTAAACTGTCTTTATCTCAACCCACGAGTTTTCCAGCTTTTACTCTTCCAATTCTCTCCCGATTCTGCTGGTGGGGGAGCGAGCGGGTGGCTGTGTGCAGCTTGGTTTTTTGGCTGGGGCTAAACCACAACAAGATGGCATGTGATACCCAGGTTAGGTAACAGTTGGGATTTGCAAAGTAGGATATTTGCATGATGCCCACAAGTACATCAGAAAGCATAATTTGTTTCCCAGCTTTGTATTCATACAAATATCATACCCAGATGCACAATCCCAAATCCCATTAAGTGATGTTTTTAAGTGCCTTACAAGGTCTGTTATCCAAGATATCCCAGCCTTTGACAGTGATGTTACTTGACTTCTTTTGTGCAATCCCTGTATTGAGTGTGCTCCCCAGTACAGTGACCAGATTTGTAATCCTCACTTTTAATTAGTTGTATTCAGTGATGCACACTGACACTTTGTCATGAAAATAATTTAAAGGCTACACAAGGTAGCAAAAACTAAACTGGTAACCTTTCATTTCAGAGCTAGAGGCCACTACAAGCAGGACCAGAATCTCACCAAGGTTAACAGAAGTGTCAAGAGCCACCAGCATGAATCAGCTTCCCAAGGTGGCACCAACAACCTCTGGAAGACTTGCTGAAATTCCCCATGCTCCCTAAGACCACTGCGTGCAAAATTCCTGCAAATGAGACACGTGGATGTGAACTTGGAAACCTGCAGAACAGACAAACAAAACTGCAGATCCAAACTGCTGATTTCCAAACTTTTACTGCATGACCGTAGAACACTTCAACCATTAAAAAGGAAACCTCATTTCCCTTAAAAGAAAAACAGTTGCCAGCTTTTCTGCTGCCTTCTATGAAACTGCTGACCTGAGAGCATCTGAAGATCATAGATTGGATTTTATTTGTCCAGCTGGTGAATGATATTCTCCCAACGCTTTTATCATGCTCACTTTCCTAAGCATTTACGGGGCAGGCACCAGACAGATATCAGGTGGCTGCTATTTCAGACACACATACCAAGAAAGGCTCAGCATTTACAGAAAATGCAGATGCCCTGTGACATGTGTGAGGTGATGGCAATGAACCAGGACCTGGCCACAGGATACCAGCCTCCAGATGTTCAGCCTGTGCCAGGGCATTCACAGAAACAAGTGCTGACGTAGATCAAACAAAGGCATTTACTTCTAGAGCAGGAGATGTATGGGATGATGCTGTGATAAAAGCAAGGCCGTGAACCCCAAGGGTAGCACATCACTAGTTGCTACACAAAGCACCACTTAGCTGATGGATATTTATTTTAACAGCGTGACTTAATGAAAAGATACATTTTAGAGATCTTAAAATTGTATGTCACGGATCTCTCTCACAGTAATTTAATAGAAAAAAGATAACTACATATCCATCTTGACATCTATTTATCCTTACACATCACTTCTTCCTGCTTTTCAGTCCAAGTACAGGGTAAAATGTAGCAGCAGCCAAAAATCAATACCACCTGCTGAGGAAACTGTACTGCTCCACACTAGGTACTACTGAAGTAAGTTAAAAAAAGCACCCACAGTTATCTGCTACAGAAAGTCCATTCAATACAAGCCTAAGCAGGGATTCCTCCATCAAATCTCCATGGATGAACATCCCAGCCGCTTCTCTGCGGAGACATGAACCTCCACACACAGCAGTAAAGATTAAGTTCATGTTTCCATCTCCTGTTTGCTTTTCAATGCCTTGAATCTTTTTGTGACATATAAAACATGCCTCGTTTGCCATCATTCTTGTTCCCTACCATTATTCTATCGCTGTTGCCAGTAAACAAAACACACAGTTCTGTGTATATATGGTCCCACTATTTTTTCCCCGTATATATACACTCTTGGATTTATAAGTTAAGACACAACAATATTAATTAAATGGACTTATATGTGATCTAAAAGAAGACCAAACAAAATCAATAACTGCATTTTAAGAGTTTAAAGTACAGTGCAACTGTACTTTAGAAAAAAAAAATAAATTAGACAACTCAGGAACTTGAAATGAGTTTTAACTTCCGATGTTGATTATAAAAGATAGACTTGCTTATCTCCACATAGCTTGTGTAAACAAACACATCTGGATGGGGGCTTGCTTAAACACCAGTCCAAATGGTGCTTTTTACAGACTAAGACGTCCGCAAAGATGTCCAAAAAAAATCACTCAGACCCTGAACCCGACCACAACTATGTCATGAGTACAAAAGGATTAATCAGAAATTATTGGTGGGTTTATTTATTAGATTTGATTTGTGGGACCTGAGAATATTTGTGTGCTTTCGACAGTTTTGTGTTATTTCCCTGTCACAAGTTGAAAAGTTACCAAAAAAAAAAAAAATAACTAAAGGGGAGAATTTCAGCAATGGTGTGAGGCAGTTCAGTGGCAGAAAAGCTGATAAAAGAGAGAACTTTCCTTCTGGAATAGAGGGGTGGAGAGGAGAAATATACCAGAAAACTGATAAAAGAGGACAAAGAAGATTAAAAACCAAGATGCTAGAAAATACACACTTGAAAAAAAACAATCTCAAATTCTGGTTATAAACTTTCTGTTTTGGTTTTGACTTTGGTACTTCTTCCCTCTGCCTCGCTGTGTGCACCACGGGGGTGAGCTCCCCTGGCACAAGCTTTCCACGGCATTAAAGGCTCCAACTTCAAGCACACAAAATGTAACATGAACACTGCAGCTAATTAATAAATTTTAACTAATCCTCCAAAACAAGATCTGATCACCTCCTGAAGCCAAACCTGATGTTAAAGTGTTGTAAGACTGGGCACGTCCCGGTCGGTGGGACCGGGTCCATTTGGGCAGCAGCAGAGAAGCACAGACCACAGCAAGCAAAGCACAACCTTTACCCTTCCATTCCCGGGGCCGTCGAGCGTCATTTCTAAATTTAGAGCCCAAACCTCCACGGACGTTTCCTGGATCAGTGTGCGGCCGTTCAACTACAAAACCGAAAGCGTTTCCAGACCGGTCTCACTACGCGGCTCCCTTCTCGATGGGGACGAGCACCGGGACAGTCCCTCGCACCGGCGCTTCTCCCGCACGCAGCCCAAGGGTAATTCCCCGGTGTCCGATCCTTTGGACGAGCGAACCGATAACTCGCAGGGATGCTCTCCACGGACGGATCTGGCGGGAAGGGGGAGGGTGGTTTCTCCAGCTCCCCTCCGCGCCCCCCCCGGCCCCACTCACTTGTCCAGCCAGAAGGTCCATGGCGAGTGGAGCGGCAGCCCCGGTAGCCCCGGCGCCTCCCGCTCGGGGGGGCTGAGCGCCATCAAACCGGGCGGGCGGGGGGGGCGAGGGGCGGGACGGCAGCGGGGAGGGGACAAGGGACGGGGCGGGGGTGAGCGGGACTGGGGCTTGGAACAGGGGAGGGACAGAGAAGCAGGGGCGAGGGTGCGACGGGAAGGACGGACGGACGGCACGGGGAAGGGGCAGAGGGAGCCGCGCTGATGGTGACAGCGATGGACGCGCTCAAGGGGTCCATTTGAGAGCACAGGTGGCTCCCCAAAGGGGCCCCGACCCAGCGCGGGCGTTCGCCCGGTCACTGCCCCTCCTGTAGGAGGGGAATCGCCGAGCTGCTTCCTTACACCATTACGAGGACCCACGGCCACGAGGGTCTGCCCACGGCTGGGGCAGACAGGCCACCCAACGCCCCCGTCCCACCGCGCACGGTGCTGGCAGCCCCTTCTCTGCACATGCACAGGGCTCACCGCACACCTGATGCGTCGCTGGGGCTGCCTTTTTGAGCAAATCAGCCTTCCTGCTCAGTTTGTCTCGGCAACACTGACCAAAACACTAAAGCTCTCTAAAAACCCAAGGTTTAGGACACAAAACCTTTGCACATTCACATAATGGAGGGATGGCCACAAGGCAAGCTGACCATGGATGGAGGCAGCGCAACAACAAACCTTTCTAGACTTCGGGGGGAATAATTTCTCTGTCTTCTCATCTTCTCTACAGCCCATTTAATTTATATATTTGGTTTTACAGGGAGATGTTCCTCGCAAATCCAACATGTGCAAAAAACCCTCATATTATTTTTATAAAAGTATTTTTAAAATTAAGATTTTCCCTATTGGGACTGTGCACAGTAGTAAAGTTAAACACCCACATAAGTGATAGCAGGATCAAAGACCATGAATCACAGATTGCCTTGCAAGCACATTTAGTAGGATGAATAATTTTATATATACTTCATCCTAAAGGAAAAATCAATAAAGACACACTCCTTTAAAGAAATAAAAATCTAACAGTGAGAAAGAGCAAAGATCACCCATAAAAAGCAGTCTGCATAGTGACAATAAAGAAACACAAAAAGTTAATGATTATGTTGTCCAGATGGAAAATGCAAACTGCTAATCCAAATTAAATAAGATCTGGGAAACCAGTTGCGCCATCTCATGCAATTTAATTTATTCCTCTTTAAATAGAAGGCAAGATAATGACCATTTGGGAGAGCTTGGAATCTAAAAATTCATTGCTATGCCCACTCCAAGCATTTTCTCTCTATTTTAATGGTGAGCCCACCAAAAATGTTCATCCTGAATAAAACCCCTACGATAAATGGCAGATTTTCCCAGAAGAGTTGGAGAAGACAGGAGGAGAGGAGAGGAAGAGGAGAGTGCTAATTTCTTATGACCTCAAAGGGCCCCATCTTTTCTCCCTGACTGCCGATGACAGTCTCCACACCCAACACATACATGTTTGGTGTCCTCTGCTGAGGTTGCCAACAAAGTATTAGACTGTGGATATGCAGCAGCATCACTATGGAAGTGAGGCCTAACAAAAACTAACTTTGAATCCAGCACCTGCCTCTGATGGGAACCACATGCTTCAGTGAAAACCTCCAGATTCCATTATGAGGGAGCTGTTCATCAGCTGAAACATTATAGCTCAGGCTGAAAACAAATCATTCTGCTATAAACAACCTGAGCTGCAAGGAACAATATAAAAGTACAACCCCCACACCTCTAAGACAGGGAGTGAGAGCCAGGCAGCACAGCCTGTATCATTATTCCAAATGAGACATGTAAAGCCTCCATTTATTCCTTATTTACATCAGTAAATACCAGGCTTCACAGTGGCACAAGGAACACTGCGGGAATCTCAACTAACAGTAAATTAATTTGGCTGTGGAGGAAGGGCAACCACAGGATGCATTGAATTAGCGCATCCTTTGCCTACAGAGATTTCTAAGAAGTCGTGACACAGAGGCAAGAACGAGACTCCCAAGATGAATCTCGCAAGGAAAAACGATCACGAGTGCAGCATCCTGATTCTTTCTGCTCAGCTACCTCGTGCTGCCAGCACACCTTGAGTGAAATCAGTTCAGAGATTAAAAATCCCAGGAAGTTATTACCACCTTCAGAGAGGTATTTATAAGGCTTTAATTAAAAATTTATTTTATTGATATTTACCATCTATTTGAAAGGTTCCTTTTTAAGGAAACCCTGGTGATGCCTCCTGCGCTTTTGTATCTTCTCAAGCAGCTTTACCAGAAACAAACTCTGTTACACTTCAGCCCTGTGCTACAGGATGGTGCAGAGAGGAGTTGCTTAAAGCTCACCACCAGGGAAGGGGCTTGGGGCTCCATTCCTTACACCTTCTCCCAGCCACGTCCTTTTGCTTGCAGAGCTCTCCAGGTAAACAGGCACTTTTCTGCTCAGGCCTTATAAAGCAGGACTGGGGGGGAGGAGAGTAGGACTGAGCCAGTAGATTAACTCAGCTAATTTCTGATGGGTAACAGCTGAAGTTTTCCACAGTAGCAACTGGGAGGGGGACATACCAAACTGGAGCGGGGAATGTTGTTCTGCCCTATTCTGTGTGCTCCCAGCACCGTTTGTCTGCACCCAGTTTCGGGCACCTGAGCCTTTTTGCCACACAAAGGCCCCAACCCACTCCATGCTGTGCTAATTAGAGCTGAAGAAGGTACATTATAGCCAGAAGAAACAATGAGTACCTCATACCTCTTTCCATGGTTTTACTTGAGATTTAAATCCCTACTCTTATAATCCTTGCTAATCCCCAAATCTTGACAGCAATGGGTACATTACATGTGCTTGAAACATTATTTGCCTATTCCAGGAGATTTTCCCATAGTCCCTGCCCCAGCTAGCGCAGGAAATCCCCCTGCTATGATACAGTGGTGTTTTGAGGGGACACACTGCCTCTTAAAACCATCAGGACCCTCCTTTCCCCTGCTGAGAGTTGTGCACCATCACTGTGGCAACTGGAGTGCCTGCGTACATGAGAAATATTAGGAAAGCATTAGGCTTATTTTAGCTACATTCTAAATATTAGGAAAGCATTAGGCTTATTTTAGCTACACTCTAGTGCAGTGTAGCACCTGGAAGGGAGGAAGGGAACAAGCACCATATGAGCAGTCACACTGCATTTCCAGCCTGGAAGTGTTCCACAGCTATGTCCGAGGCGACAGCTACCACACCTTAGAAAACATCTGAGATAACCTGGGTTTGTTCAGTGCTCCTGATACAAAACGAGCGGTGTGAAAGGTTGGGCTGGACCTCTCTCCAGCCAAAGCTCCTCTTTTTCGCTCTGAGACCGAGTTAGCTGGAACATAAACCTTCCTGGACTTGAAGGATGGCTGGAGCACGAGCCTTGGCTGCTGTGCCCAGCTGCTGCTGCTGCTGCTGCCTCACATCCCGAGCCAACAGCCATGAAATGTAATTTCTCTACCAAATGCTGGTGTCACGATCACTTGCTCTTGAAACACTGCCTGGGACTTCAGAAGCATATTAAGTAACACAGGAGCTGCTCCTGAGAGGTTCCCAGGAAGATAAACTGATCAACCCAGAGCTGAAGCAGAGGTGAAGATGAAGGGATTTGAGTTGATATTTGCTTCCAGAGGCTTAAATAAATGTTTTTTAAACCCTAAAACACGATAATAAAGTGTTGAATCCCAATGCTTTTGGCAAAAGCTCCCTCATCTAGGAATGATTTCATATCAGCCAAGCTGTTAAGCAGAGGTTGTCATGGAAACAAGTTATATTCAAATGATATGGCCAGAGAGATACTGTATTTAGTGAGTTCTTCATTTGCTGCATGTTGGGAACATGTCAGAACTAAATGATATTGCATAACTTTGTTTTGTTAAAAACAAACTGGCTCGCTGCCCCTGTTTCTCTCGCAGGCTTGTGTCCAGTGCTGCCTGGGACAGGTGGTTTTCCACACAGTTCCAAGCACTGCTCCACAGGAGAGGCTCCTCACGCAGCTGGTGCCTGCAAGCTCCCATTCACAGAAGCCTCCCTTCAAATGCACGAACCTGCCCAAGTCAGACCAGCAGAGGAACCTTTCCTCAGCTTCCACAACTGACATAACCATCCATAACCAGTCAAAAAGAAGTGCTGTTCAACTGGATCTTTTCCTCCCTTGCTAAAGAAGTTCCTACATATACTTTGTGAAAGTGTAAAAAAAAATTTTAAAAAATCTATACAATTACATAAAAGTAAAGCCAGTTCATGTGTTTGTGGGCATCCCGTAGGTGTCCATGAGCTTCTTGTAAACACAGCAATCCTATTAACTTACTCTTGGTGACTGATGCCAGAACAAATCTCAGAGAGGACATGTACATACTAAATTTGTACCTCTGCTTTTTTAGCTGCGGAGCTGTTAAAAAGTGCAAGAATTTTGTTATGTATCCCAGGAGTAAATGCATATTTTTCTTAATGTAAACCAAATAGATGGAGTCATCCTTGTTCAAGTTATAAACCAGAATCAAATCAGCTTTGGCCAGGATGCTGTGGGGAAACTTCATCCTGAAGAGTGAAAACAAAAATGAAACACAAAATTGGCTCCAAAATCACTCTCATGGGAAACGCTGTGCAGCTTTTATGAAGCAGCATCCAAAGGAAGGTGGTTTAAGCAGTCTCCCAAAGGATCAAGATTCCTGATTGACCAATAGAAGCTGAGCAGTAAGTAGAAGTCAAACAAAAGCAAAACTTTACCCTTAAAGTTGTTACATAACAGAACACACTGCAAAATGCTTCACGGGAAGGTGATCTCACAGCCTCCAGGTCCAGAGGCATGGGAAAATGGAATGGGAGCTTCCTAACTGCTGGGGCAGGTTATCCTAAATTTCTCCAAGCTTTCTATTACAGTTTATAAAGGTAAAACCAAGGCCAAATTGCTCCCCTGGTAGATGAAAAA